CAGCGCCCTGCAGGCTGGCGCCTGGTCAGCTCACCCCACAGTCATGCAGCAACTGGCGCTGGGCTCTGCTCCAGGGCCAGGGACGTGACACAGACTGCTTCTAGGCTCGACTTAAGAAAAATGGACCAGGAAAGGGGAGAAACTTCATGACTCAAAATACTACCCCCTTACTAGTTGGGATTCTATTCTTTCATTTAATATATATCTTCTGGGCAGCCCACTAAGTGCAAATCCCTGTTCTACAAACTTGGGGTTTGTCAGTGAACAAAGCAGACACCCATCCCCCGGCCTTACAGCGTCTCCTTCCCGGGGAGGGACCGCCAGTCAGCTAAAACCATACTGGATGAGTAAACCCAACAGAATGTCCAAAGGTGCTGAATGCCATGGAAAAGCACCGAACAAGGTCCTGGGACACGGGGTGCGGGTGGGCAGGCTGCTATGTCCACGTGGGGGGCAGAGGGGCCCTCACTGAGCAGGTGACCTTTGAGCAAAGAGCAGGAAGAAGCAGGACAGGTGAAGCCCCGGCTCCCTGGGGAGCAGGACAGGCTGTGGTCAGGAAGGGGGAGGGGGCAAAGTGCTGGAGGGGAGGGCGGGTCCGGCTGGTGCAGAGCAGAGGGGTGATCTGGTCCATCCCTGGCAGGCAGCAGTGACTCTCCCACAGGCGGGGTCGAGTGGGGGTGTAGGCGAGGGGAGTAGAGAAATGAGAGTCGGAACCCACACTGTAGAGGGGTCTAAGGGACAAGAGAGGGCGGCCCTGCTGGGCGCGTGGCCATACCCCTCACGGGCCAGACCTCTTGGGGTCTTTGTGATCTGGAAGGGGAGCTCAGCTGGAGAAATAGGTCACTTAATGCCAAAGCATCCCGCTCGGGCTGTGGGCCTGCTCTGAGAGCTGGCTCTTCTGGGGGGAACAATGGGCCGGCTATAGGCAGAGTCCTGTCCTGAGCGTGACAGACAGGAGACCCCAAGGCGACCTTCATGCCGCGTCTACCCCCACCTGAGTCTGCAGACTTCAGAACCAAACTGGAAATGAGGCTTATCATGTTCAGTCTTTAAAAAGCTGGCCTTAGCAAAAGTGGGCAGGAAAACACTCAGAGACCGTCCAACGTTGAGGACGAGAAAACTCTGCCCCACGCAGACCACGCTTGGTCCGGTAACAGCTGCTCAGGGCTCCCGCTGTCTTTTTAGGTATGGAAATCATTTTCTGCTCCATAGTTTCAAAGGGCTCACACTTTAGGTGAGAAGGATCGACAGATGACAGCATCCTGACAAAAGGGTTATTAAAATACGCCGGCAGAACTTGGGTCCACGCTCATGCTTGTCAGAACGCATAGAACTCTACGTGCTTGGGAGTACCTGCGCTGGCCAGGAAAACTTTAGCGATGGCGGAGCCAGGCCCCCGACCTCGGGGGCACCTGTCCCATCCCCACTGGGGGCCTTTCTCTGGCCGGCACCAGGCGGCCAGAGCCCCCGGGCTGTCACACAGCTAGGTCCCTGGCCCACGTAGGTCACACAGCAGGTGCGCCTGCCCCTCCTTCCATCCAGAGGACACAGAAGATGTCACAGGAGGACCACGTGTAGCTATGTGACCCCATGCCCACTGCACGCACGCCTGCCCGTGCCCACCAGGCCCTGCCCAGCCTCCCCTCAGCACTGCGCCCGCTAGCTGGCTCCCGCCTCTCTGTTCCCCGAGCACTGTCGGTCCAGCCAGTGCTTCCCCCACAGCCTCTTGGCCTCAGCAGGGCTGCTCCCCAAGGACAGATTTCAGTCCTCGTCCTCCTTCCAGGGGCATCAGCACTGTGGACCACGCCCCAGGGGGCTCTGTGCCCTCGACCGCAGTCATGACAGTGAGCCTCCGGGGGCCTCCGGGGGCCCTGGGCCACCGCCTGGTCACTCTTTGAAGCTTCAGCTCCCAGCTCATGCCAGCGGCGTCCTCCGCCAGCTCCCTGCTGTCCCTGAGCATGTCCACAGCCGCTCATGGCTGGGGCCCAGGGGTGGCCCTGCCCCGCCCCGCCCCCCTGCTCTAGGCAGCACGCCGCCTGGAGTGCCTGCCGAAGTGTCCGTCCGACACACCGCGCTCCAGCCCCCAACGGCTGTGGGGCAGAGGAGGGGGGCTCGGCCCAGCTTTCTTGCATCAGAAAGATTTTTAAGAGACCTTGATTAAACGAGTGCTTCCTGCTCTTTGATGTGCTTAAGGAAAAGAACATTTTCTTGTTGGAGAAGCAAACACCCAGGAAGCAAGAACAGGCATGAGCTGAAAGCCAAGTTCTTTATTATTTTAAAATAACTAGCTCTAAGAATCAAAAAGCTTCAGGACGGTTTGGATATATTACTCAATTGCCTTTAAACTCTAACAAAAAAGGGGGGAGAAGATTGCTTTATGTAAAAAAGAGTGGGTGAAATGTGGACACTTCAAAAACAGTCTGGTGTTCAATTCTAGAAGAGTCAAGTGCAATCCACCTGACCAGGAAGGAGACATAATACAGGGCTCCGGGTCTACTGGGGACTTAGCTTAAAATGGACACCAGGCAGGACAGAAGGCTGTCAGGGGACAGCAGAGCCGCCTGAAGCCCACTGCCCACACCCCCATGGCCGGCCACGGCCCGCCCCAAAGGTGGCCAGGGAGCACGAGCTCCGGACCTCACGGGGAACGTGGGTGCAAAGCAATTCCTCACGGGGAGCCAGGCCCTGGTGCCTCTGACTGCCGGTCCTGCTCACCCCTGGTGCGGAGGATCTCGACTCTCCTCCTCCAGCCCCTGAGCTCAGCCACCGCGGGCTACCGCCCCAGGAGGCCCGAGAGGGGTTTCCTCCATGACTGTGCCCACTCGGTCACCGTCCTCCTCTGGGTGTGTGGGCACAAGACTGAGACACCATGCTTTCCTCCCTGGTGCCACACTCCCCGGGGACACCTGGCCTTCCTCCCCTTGCCGGGCCAGCTCACAAGCAGGACACGCACAGAGCTGCCTGAGGATCTGACCCCAAATCAGGCCAGGCTCACCCGGGATCCTTCGCTTGTATGGCTGATGCCAGGACCTGCGTCCCGACCTCACTTCTGCCTCCGAACACCGTGTTGTCAGCTCTGTCCACCCTCAGCCTGGAGGGGCACAGGCCATGCACCTCATCCTGCTGTGTCCACAGAGGGCCTTCTGTGGCTCACCCGAGTCAAAGGGAGCAATGCTGACTGCAAATGGCTTGAGGATAGAGCCCTACATCCCACCATTGGAGACCTGTCTACACGTCATCATTCCACCCTGTCTTACTGGACGCAGTCAAATTTGATGTGTGCCTTCGAGGGCCTGCCTGAATCCCGCTTTGTATCTCCCGTCAGAGCCCTCCTCAAATGCCTTGCTGGCCCCACCGTCTGCTGCATGTCCCCGCTGGGGGTCTAGGAGGGCAGCCTCGGGGTGAGCCTGAACCAGCTCTCGGAGACGTGCCTCCTGGAGGAACCCTAACAGGCGCTCATGCTTCCAGGCTGAGACACTGCAGGGACGGGGCCCCAGGACGCGTCGATGGCGCGTGAGACGGGCCTCCACAGGGGCCTTCCTAGGCCAGGCAGGGGCAGCCCTGCTCGGGGGAAGAGGCTGGTACTCATCATATCACCCTTTCCTGGGGCTTTGGGGCCGTCTGGCCTTGGGTGTCTCCCAACGGGTCAGTGCAGTGGGAGTGGCGCCCTCCCCACTGGGTAGTGTCCACCTTGGCCTCCCCAGCACCCACCCTCCAGGCTACTCTGCTCTCCAGCCTTTCCCGGGACGGGACATCAGGGGTCCTCACAAGTGGCCCGGGTATTCCAGCACTGCCCGCGCCACGGGTGGCCTGTCCTCCCGAGCTGTGTGTCCTCCAGCCTCATTTCAGGGCCTTGTCACGCCGGCTCCCTTGAGTCTTGGTGGTGACCAGCAGGAGGGTGGCCAGCACAGGGACAACGGCACCCCCACTGGACACCCAGGGAGCCTGCCCCGCTGGACTGTGTCCTCGCCGGCTGCAGACCTGCACACGTCCGTTTCGTCTCCTGAGGAAGGGGCTGTGAGTCCCAGGGACGGCGCGGGAGCAGAGCTCGAGGGCTGCCTCCAGGCGTCCCGCACGTGGGCCCCCGGCACCTCCCTGCTCAGGCCGGGCCCTGCCTGTGCTCCCCGCGGCAGCAGCTGACTTGCTTCTGGGACCCAGGCGGCCATGCCACAGCAAGCACCAAGAGGAAGCTGTGCTGTGAGGGGCCGGGACTCGCCCTTCAAGGGGGTCAGGAGGTAGGTGTGGGACCCCGTATCCAAAGTCCTGTGGATGGACTTAGAATTTCAGGAAGAGCACATTTCCAAAAATCCAAGTGGAAGCTACAGGTAAGTTCTGTGTCACAAACTTCAGAGGCTCGGCCAGCTGCAGAGCATCCTGTCGAGGGCGGCACCTCCCCGCCTGATGTCCCGTCCACTCCCAGCTGGGCAGCTCTCCCCACCCGGAGCGCCAGCCAGGAGGGAGGGGCCCTGGCCCAGTGTCATTCCGGAATGTGACGCTCCCAGGGACTCTCTCCCTTGACCCCTTCACTCCCTCTCCCGTCCGGACCCTCTGAGCTCAGCTGTGCAAGCCAGCATCTCCCTGACATGGTCCTGCGGCCCCAGTGGGGACATAACACAGGGCTCCCAGCCTGGGCATTGCCTACAGGTTCAGAGCAGGGAGCCGGGGCTCCACGCCCCAGCCTGCAAGACCGGCACAGGGACACTGTCCCCAGAACTTACCTGAGAACCTCCCCGAGAACTGACTGTCCACAGAGAAGGAAGCGAGATGAGAATATTCTCAACACGACCCACATGCAAAGGTGAGCACCTTTAAAATACAGGATCCTGAGCCACGTTTACAGAGAAGAGGGCTCTTGGTAGTGCTCTTGCTCACCTCCTTCTGCCCTAACCAGAGAGCCTTGTCCAACTGGTGAGCATTAACCCAGAGCCGGAGCACAGCTGTAACAGGTCTGGGCCCCGAGCCCATGCACGGAGCAGCCCCGGGCCCCTTGGTCCTCCTACCTCGTTGCCCAGCAAAGCAGAAACACATGCTTCCGAGGCATCGCAGATAGCCGTGAGGTCGTGGCCCCCCTCCAGGGCCAGAACGATCCGGCCGCCAGCCAAGCCCATCAGCTGCTTCGTCAGGTACCCGAAACCTGCAAGAGGAAAAGGGAGATGCGAGCGGAGGACGAGGGCGAGCCACAGAGCCGACGCCTGGCTGCGGATCAAAGCGCCCAGAAACGCATTACATCACATTACAGAGACCCAGGGGGCTGGCGCTCCGAAACACATAATAGAAGCCAGGTCTGATTGTAATAAATTCATTGAAGAATTTCAGTTTGGGATTCTTTTAGATCTGTTTGAGAGTAGGAATTATGGTTTTGGTGCTTTGATTTTATAATGCCACAAATCATCTCGTTTGGGGGAAGGAAGGAACCCCAGGAGGAGCCCCTCAGCTTGCATGCTGGGACCGTGGAGGGGGGAGCATGAGCTCGTCCCCACGGTGTGTCCTCGCAGCCTGGGGACCAGAGGCCCGGGGGTTCTGGTCAGCGGTGTGCTGAGCACATGTGTGTGCGTGTCCATTCGCGGGCACACGCACCACCGGGCGGGCCCCTCCTGGACTCTTACACCCCGCGTCTGGCGGGTCTGGCTTTCACCGACAACCACAGCGTGCCCCCTGCACCCACATCCCCTCCCGTCCGCAGAGAGCGCCTGGCAGGTAATGGTGATTACCATCCTCACCAGAAGCGTCTGACGTTGATTAGAGCTGAACAAAACCACGCCACCCTGGTCAGCAGCCCCATCACCAGCTGTCACCAGCACACTGGGCCCAGGGCTGGGCGGCGCTCCTGGCGGCTGTGGGCCTGGCGAGATCAAAACCTCCCGAAGCCTCGGCTTCGCCTCTGTCTGACGGAAACAGTGACGCGGGCCCCGAGCGCACCTGGTCCTGCGCTTCATGGGAATGCACCTTCCGCAGAGGGAAGGTCTGTGGCCGCCCTCAATCGAGCACGTCTGGGGACAACATTCTCCCACAGCATTTGCTCACTCTGCATCTTTCTGTCACATTTTGGTAATTCTCACAATATTTCAAACTTGTTCATTATTATTATTACGTTATGGTGATCACAACTCGCCTATAGCTCACATGACGGTCAGCACATTTTAGCAACAAAGTCGCTTTTGATGAAGGTCTGTACGTGGTTTTGCAGACCGTCTAGCGCGCATCTAACACACTACAGTGCACGGCTAACGTCACTCTTCGATGCACTGGGAAGCCCCAAATTCACCTGTTTTACTGCGGAGCTCTGGGGCTGAAGCCGCGCTATCTTGGGGTGAGCCCGTAAGGCTCGGAACTCGGACGGCAGCAATCTGGCCGCGCGGAGGGGTGCTGGGCACTCTGCTCCCTCCTGGCCCTCTGCCTGGTCACTGCGTGGGCCACTGGGCCTCCGGCCGGGTCAAAAAAGCTCTGAGGTCTGTGCCAGAGCACGGCCCCCAGGAGAGCTACCCTGTGCGCCCTGGTCCACACCGGCCCGCTGTGCGCCCTGTACTCTCTGGGGCAGCCGGTGCGGTCATGTTTTTAGTAAGACATGACGAGGAGAGTTTCCTCCCATTGTTACTAAAGGGGAGGCTTGAAATACAGAGCACACCTGATCATAAACACAGCAGAACCCAGACTGTGCCTGGGCCATCTGCAAACCCGACTTACATTTAGCGGAGAGGTTGTAGCCGCCGAGGGGTGTGGGGTGGCCCTCCACAGCGTCGAAGCCCGATGACACGAGAACCACATCTGGGGCAAACTCGTTCGCGATGGGCATGACCACGGTCCTGCAAAGGACAGGAGAAGGGGACACGGGGTCAGCTGGGGACACAGCCATGGAGGAGGGTGGATGGCCACTGACAGAGCCTGCCCTGGCTCCCCTCAAGGTCAGCAGGGCAAGGGCTCCATGAGGGAGCTGGGAGATCAACCCAGTGTGATCACAGCTCGTTTCATTGGTATCTTAAATGTCCAAACCGGTAAGCCCCAATATAAATGCCCATGAAGCCACAGCATAGGGGTTCTTGAGTAGACTTGTTGGCACGTTCGAGGCAATCTATAACCCCCACAGCACCAGCTGCCCAGGCTGCTAAAGGTCTCCCCGCCCATCCCTGTCCCCTGGCTGTCCTGGCTTGCTCCTGGGGGTGGGGGGCGCTCTGCTCACCCCTACGCTCGCTTTATGTGGCCCTGATTCAAGACCGGCACAGCCACCGACCGCCCCCGGTACCAGGGACCCAGAGCTGTGTGTCTGAGAAGGCGGGGGAGCCGCTGAGCAGCCCTGGCCCGGAGGGGGCCCTGGTGGGCTCCTTCCACCCACCCGAGGCCACAGCTTCAGCCACACGTGACTGGACGACCCGCACGCACGCGTGGGGGGGTGATTGCTGGGCCAATCTGACACCTGGGAGCTGTAAAGCGACAGCTGGTGATCGAATTTAAGAGAACAGACAGGTTACACATGTAAACACCCACTGGGAAGTTCAGTGGTTTAGGGATACGAGGGAAACAAGGAAACCCGTCCACTTGAAAAGTAGAAAAAACACTTAACAGGAAACAACCACTCACGAGCATGCAGTCTGATTATATCCTATAAATGCGCGCTCTGTGCTCTGCGAGCATATTACGACGAGAAGCTGAACAACTTTGTCAGTTAAACTTGTTTTATTCCATTTTGAATGCATCACCACAGACTTCCAGAGTCTTCCTCCTCCCTCTGGGCTGTGTGCCTGCAGCGGGCTGGGAGGCGGCTCGTCATCACCCACGCGCCGTGCACCTCCGCAGGACTCCTCACTTGCTCGTGGCCATGGGAAGTCCGGCTTTCCCCATCTCCTGCAGGTTGGACCAAGTTTCTGCGACATCAAAGGGCTGCTTCCTGTTCCTGCAGCTTCCAATGGCATGCAGGTCCCGCTGCTCACCTCTGACTCAAGTCAGTCAACTGGGTGTCCAGAGGCTCGCACGGGGAGATGGCGGCATGCCCCCGGCCCAGCCCACGGTCCCCTCCCACCCAGGTCAGCGGGAACACCAGGGCCACCACGCAGCAGGGCTGGGACGAGAGCCTCCACAGTCTCTCATGCCTTGTAGTACCAAAATTTTATACTAATGTCTGCAAAGTCCACTCCATAAAGCACCAGCGTCGGCCAACAGAAGCAAAATGAACAGCTTTTCTGCTCAGTACGATTCCGGACTGTGATCCTCTTGAAAGTCCCTCTGGTTCCAGGGGGTGAAGTGATGGAAACTACACACAAGGTTAAGATCCCGCCGCCCATCTCTGCAGGCGGCACGGGATGCACACAGCCCGATGCTCGAGGACCCCGCCAGCAAGCCCTTCTGAGAAGGATGTCTGCACCGCGGGAGCAGCCTCCAGGCGTCCCTCTGATCAGGTCGGGCACGAGAAGGTCTGCCGTACCGACAGGCCCAACCACACACACGGGCGCTCTGCCAGCCGAGAACCCCACCTCTGGACCCTCACACTGGGCGGCCACAGGCCAGCGCTGGCTCCTGAGCCTCGCACGGCTTTCCTCTCTCTTCCGAGGCTGTGCCCAGTTCACGCAGCCGCCTCTGGACTGCGTCTGCCCCAGGCTGGTCAAGTGGCTTCAGGGGATCCAGGTCTGCGCCCAGGGGGCCATGTCAGGGGCCACAGGAACACCACCTGTGACTCCTGACCAGGGACCAGCAGACGTTCCCACCAACAGCCACAGAGTGAATGTCGTCTTCGGGACACGGGGCCCGTTGCCCCGACTCGCACCACCCTTGTCGTGCGCAAGCGGCCACATCCGTATGTGAACACGTGCGCGTGGTACGTTCCACTAAAACATAGAAAACACGTGGTGGGATGTGGCCCAGGCCCACTTCACTGCTGTCAGGATGACTCTTGAGCACACAGCACCTGCCTCACACTGTGACACGCTTCCTCGCGTCCTCTGGGACGCCGCACAGAAGTTCTCCGACTGTCAACACGAAGTGTGCACCAGTCTTCTAAGCAGACCGTCTGCTCAGGGCCCGCGCCGGAGCGTGGGTTAATGGTCCAGCCACGGCGGCCATGGCGGGACGGCCGGCGCGGGCAGGAGGACGGGGGAGTGCCTCGGAAGCCGGGACGAGAGCCCTGTGTTCAGCTCACAGCCAGAGACGCCGTCTGCCTTCCCGCGGGAGGACCCAGTTTCCCAGCAGGGCCGGTCTACACCCGCCAATGCTTTTCACTGCCTGTGCCCTTCCAGAGAGACGGTTTCCTGATTATTTTAATGACGTTCCTGTCACATAAACTGTCTTTGGGCCGAAGAATGGTTTCGGCCATGTATTTGGCATGGATCTTGTAGCCAAGACCTTTGTTCAGTGAAAAACACAGACACCTTGTGTAGACACTGGCTCATTCACAACGCGCTTTAGCAGCCCTTTTGCAGCAAATGCATGTGGTGGGCCCAGTTCTCTGCTCTGAAGTACTGCTGAGCTATTCCGTTTCTAATCCCCCTCACAAAATTAAAAAAATAGCCCCGTTAAAACCTTCATTGGAGGAAGTTAGTACCAAGTGAGTCCCTGGCGTCTACACTTGCTGTGTAGCATCGCGCGAAGCCAATCAAAACAAAACGCGAAACCCCGTGTCTGCGTGTGCGTGTGAGTGGGGCATGGGCCCGTCGGACATGTGCAAGCATGAGCTGTGGACGCACGCGCACACCCCCGTTCTAGCCCCCTGGTTTGGGGCCCTGCAGGTTGCAGTTGCAATCACCAGCTGAAGCTAAGGAAGTCTGCTGAGAGCCAGCCGGGCGCCGAGTGGTCTCCGGGCCGGTTCTCGGGAGCCCTGAGAAATGTCACCTCCCGTCAACAGACTCTGCTTCTTCACCTACAAGAGGGGGGCTGAACGCGGCTCTCCTGAGGATCCCATCAGCCTCCCAGAACCCCCACATCATCATCCCACCCAGGAACCCCATGCTTCATCGATGTCACATGAAAACAGGACTCTGGCCTCACATTTTATTTCTAGAATGAAATTTTAACACACAAAAAAGTCTCAGAGACAGATATCAATATTTACAGCAGACTCTCTCTCAAACCATCTCTGTAAGGTGAGTGTTTCTGGGGGTCATCTTTGACCTCCTGCAGGGCAGCCTGAGGGCAGAGGGGGTGGGCTGGGGGCTTCCCAAGGCTGCAGACCATCCACTGTCCCCTCAGAGCCAGGGGGACGGGCACGTCTCCCAGAGAAGAGATGGGCTGGTGTCCGCACCGGGCGCGTCCCTTACCGTAGGAAAGCAGAGAGCACGCGGCTCTCAGGAACCACCACCATCGTGTCCCCTGAGCCCCTCAGTGCGCCCTGCCTGTGGAGGCTGGGGCTCAGGGGCGCAGCAGTCGGAGGGACGGAGCCTGGGCCTGGGAGCAGCCCCGGGACGCTGCCCACTCCCTTCCCGAGGCCTCATCAGGGCTGGCTGCCGGCGCGCTGCTCAGGGACACGGCCCTCCCCTGCCCCCTGCAGCTCACTGGCCACGCCGCGGCCTGTCCACGGAGGAGGGCTGTGTGTCCAGGAGAGGTGCGAGCTGTCACAACAGATGGGGTGGCCTGAGCACACTTTGCGAACGTGAAGCATGCTCGCTATCAGTCTGGGGCTGCTCCGTGGCGGGGACGGTGCTAGGCGCGTTTGTGGGGCACGTACAGCTAACACCATAGAACGTCAGATTACACGGCGTGTACAAGCCCGTCTCCAAAACCCACAGGGGCATCTGAATGCAGTAACCTGTTCAACAGCTGGTTCCAACTTCTGGAAGGAAATGACCTTTCGATTTGTCTCCCAACCAGGGCCCCACACAAAACGCACCAAACTCATGGACATCGGAGGCCTCGGGTCCATGGCGCTGTCCCCGGGGACTGTGCCCATCCATGCCAGAGAGCACCTGGGAATGTGGGGGGCAGCCCAGGGCCTCCGAGGGACCCGAACATGGTTCACAGCACCAGCCCACAAACATCTCCTTGCACCAGGTGCCTGAGAGCTCACCCGGCAGAACCCGCGGCTTCATCCTTCTCGTGTGTCAGGCGTCTGCAGCTAGAGAGTTCTCAGGAGGTGGAGCTGCCCGATGGACAGAAGCCGCTGTTTCTGAACGGACAGACCCCGTTTCACAGGAGCCTGGTGCCCTCGGTAGCTGATGACACGATTTTAACCACCACAGCACTTTGATCATTGGAAACCCCTTCTGTCGCGCGCTGGGCACACCCTGGCTTTGCGGGCCGGGAGGGGGCTGGGGCGCTTGCTCTGCAACCTGGGTTGGCCGCACCTGCCCGGTGGGCCTGGCCCCGGAGTACCTGTGCAGCTCCCGCTGGGCTCTGGGGGCTCCAGGGGTTGAGAGAGCATCTTCACCGGGCTCACCGGGCCCACCAAGCATTCCAACACTGCTGAGAGTCGGAGTCAGACGACAGATACACATGGGAACCACACACTCTGTCCTGGCCGCACCCCCGATAGCGATGCCTGCCGCCCCGTCCTGCTCCGTCCACCCTGTGGGCACTGTGGCCGGCAAGAGCATACAGGCTGCCAGGGCAAAGCCAGACACTGAGGCCAGGCCCTCAGCCATCCCGTCTCCTCTCTGCCCCAGCTCTGCATCCCCATGGCCCCCGACCCCGCACTTCCGGGCTCTCTGTGCTCTGCTCACCCAGACCCTGCCCTGGTGAGGGGGGGACGCCCCTCCTCTCTCCCTGCTGCCTCCTCAGAGGTGGGGTAAGCGTGCCTTGCTCTGATCCCTGCCCCTCCCTGCTGCTCCTGTCTGGCTGTCACTTGCAAAAGGTGGGGCGCCTGGCTCTGCTGGCTTCTCCACCCCTCCCGTCCAGTGCCCCACCAACACGGTGCCCCTTCCCCACGGCCACCGTGGTCCCCACTGGGCTCAGCATGGCTGCCCTGCCCCCACGTGCTCCGAGCTCTGTCCCATCACCATCCTCAGGCCTGTCTAGGGCCTGGCACTCTTGGCCACCAGCCATCCACCTCCTAGCGCTCCCCTGCCCCTCCCCACCACCAGGAATAAACAGCAGAGGCGGCGCTGCCTGCTGAGGACGCCCCACAGACCCACGCCCGGCCTGACGAGCAGGTCTCTGCTGGCCCGGGCACCGCAGCCCAGGCCTCTCCCAGCTGCTCCCTTCTTGCTATGAAGCCAACCTGGGTCTCTGCCTCAGCGTCCCCATGTTCTCTCCTGGGTTCCTACCCCGCTCTTGGCAGGGCCCTGGCTTCCCCTGGGGAACTCAACTCCAAGCAGCAAGTATTTAGGAGATGGCCCCTCCCCACCCGAGTCCCCCTCAAGGCTCCCACTAGACAGCTGTGGAACATCCAGACCTGCCATGCTGGTCACCTGGGCAGAGCCCCCGACATGCTCCTTGAGGGACAAGGCCACGGTCCTCGTCCCCAGAGATGGCCCTACGCGCCTGCGGGCTCGCACTGCAGGTCTCCTCCCGTGGGGCTGCCTGACACCCCGCCCCAGGCTCGTTCCTCCAGGACTCAGGAAGCTCCTGCCCCTTTGCGGGCAGGTTCCCCAGCACCGCATCACTGCACTCGCCCGTGTGTACTATGGCCGCGGGGGGGCCCGCTGTCCCGGCTCCGTGCCACCCTCCAGGAAGGCTGCTGAACATGAGCACGCACTCCGCCTCTAAATCACCATGGAACGTCCCAGGTAAGATGTCCACGTAGGAAAAGACGTGGATGCCCTTCGAGAGACAGAACTGCCTTCAGTAAATAAGGTCCAGGGCTTTGCACCCAATGTCTTCATGACAGTGAATCCTGGACGGAGGCAGAGCCTCTGCGGCTGGACTGGGCAGTGTGAGCGCAGTGGGCACCGCCGAACCGCACACGCCACGTGGCTAAGACAGAAGCCTTCTGTGCACTTCACCACGACAATAAACAAATACAAATTTTTGTTAAAAAAAAAAACCAACCCCCCGCCCCAAACAAAACACCTTATAGAAGTAACAGAAGTTCAAAGAGCTTCAATCTAGAGCTTCAATCTTTATGTCACATTTGAAAGGTTGGGGGGGGACATGAAATGAATCTGCCCAGTTGCTCAATTTAAAGGCAAATCTCAATTCGTTAAAAGATTAAAGTTACCACTTCAAAATATCCAGTTTCTCTGACATCTTTGATAAACTTTATAAAGTCACACTTAAATGGAAGTTATGATCTAGAAGCACACGTGATCCCAGTTTCATTTCCTGCCTGCACAGGCGACCCGCTCGCCCCCAGACGGCAGGCAGGCGAGGGCTGAGAGCGCATCGTGCTGTCCGTCCACCCAGAGCCCTCGCCTCTGCTCAGCAGACTTCAAAGCCCGTCTGGCGGTGCGCTGGTTTGAATTAGGGTCGCCGTTTCTCCTCAATCTGAGCCCGGGGAGAAAGTGCGGCTCCTTCTGGATTTCATTAGGGGCACCTTTCTTATCTCTTCTTCATCTCAGGCTTGATCTCCTGAAAGGCAACGTGGCAGGCAACGGGTCTGAGTAACAAGGTGCTGCCTCTGAGGCATACACTGTCCCCAGGGCCCCCCGACAAGGGGGAGAAGCATAGAAGAAAGGGGAAAGCAGATCCTGACCCTTCTTCCCCCATCGATCGATGCCCGGGGAACCATAAATTGTAAACTTCAAAGTGCTATTTTACATTAAAATCAATAAAAAAAAAACCCAACCCTGAAACAATTTTCCTTTTCAAAGGAGCTATTTAAGCTTTACAAAGTTCATTTGATAAGGTATCATCCTATACACGCTTGGCAGAACATGAAAACAGAATGTCAACAGCAACTCAGAGTGAAGGGTTCATCTTAAAGGCTGGCCTGGGGTGGGGGGCCGGGGGCGGTCCCCGAGGCTGGAGGACGACCTCCCGGTGCTGGGCATCCCCGTGCCGGGACCAGAGCACCCAGGGGACGTGGTCCTGTGAAGTCGGCCTCAAGCGGGCGATGTGCAAGCAGAGACCCCCCCC